ATATCATTTTGTTTTTTACAAGAATTTTTCTTTCGAACGATGACTGACCGAAATTTCTGTGTGTACACGTGAATGTTCTACGACACATTGAGGGGATGAATTTACGATTAGCTCACACGGTCACGGCAATTCTTCGTAAACAAAACATCAAGCCGTGCATTGGCTTAGCGAGAGAGACAAGCAATGTTTTTATGAAGTTACTTCACGACGAAAAAAGCTGCATTTTATGAAAAAAATCACCAGCAAAAAAGTGCGAGACCAGGCTGAAACATTTCACTTCGCCGCCAAACAGCTCTGGTCACACTCCATCTATGTGCTGCGCATCCGAGTCAACGCGGCACGTTTTCAAGGAAACAGTTCAGAGATTCAAGAAATTCGGAATCAGGGTGCACATGTTTATCTGCGCACAGTTGCTAAGATTCTTCGAGAAGGAAGTCGACTTTCTGCGTAAGGAATGGCGAAGCCTGGCACTATGTGGTAGTATTTGACATTTGATATGTAGTATCCATTACTTCTTCTGAGATGCCCAATGGTTGCTGTTCCAACGAATTTTGTGGCAGGTCCAAAAGCGACATTTATAATGCAACAACCTAATATAGAATATCGTATGGTTGGGTAAGTGTCACCGGTGTTGACCATACGTAATCAAGATAGCTGTGTCAAGTCGTCCACGACTATAGTCATTCACAACAGAGTCCAAATCCAGTTTTTCCAGAAATGAAAGTAAATTCCATGCGACAACGTCATTCGACCCACTAGTTTCACTTCTAGACAACAACGTTGCCTAAAACCAACGGATCAGTCACGGGCTTAAGCTATGCAAACCGGTAGTCATTCATGTCACACATTCCACTAGCAGACATCTTGTTGGCGAAACTCCAACTGACACCATAGTAGTATAGAAGCCTGTACTGCACTCAGAAAGTATGCCTTTTCAACTGTGCCTATTGTAAGGAACTAATGAAAGTCAATCAAAATTCGCTGGTGTGAGCGACAGGGAAAGGCCTTTTTGATTCAACCAAATGAGAACAAGTGCTTGTATTCTTGCCGAAAATACGAAAAAGTGCTCCCAAAGACGTCGAATCATTTTCAGCTTTGACCTGGGCGACGAATTTGTTCAAAAGCACGCGATGAACGCCTTGTAATCCTTCAAAAATCTCTGAGTAATTCCCCAGAAACAGGGTTGTGCTGAGTTGCACCTGTGGAGCTCGCAGGCTGGGATGATTTTATGAGTGGCACCTGCAGCTGTACCCATAGAAAGAGCTGGAACCCGCGTTGAAGTCAGTGGTCTCCGTAATCAAATTATTTATCAATCGCCAATACTCACACCTGTTGAAGATATCAAGGGCCAGTAATAGTGATAGTCTCATGAAGTTGGCGGCAAATACAGTGCTTTTTCAAAGATCTAGCTCTAGATAGTCGGAAAATTATTGCTCAGTCACAGTTGCATGCGGTGAAGTGTTTGAGAACGAATTTCAAACTATTGCAGAACATATGGGAACACTCGCCGAAAGCCTCTTCACGTGTCATCGCCGCCGCAGCATTTCGCGAAGGATATGATTGAAAAAAATCTTCCTCCCTCAGAGTGTGATAGATTGTTCCTACTTTCGTGAACGCAGAAAGAATTCTCTCCAAGAAACGATAAGAGTGCAGACCATACACCACAAGTGACGACGGCCTCCAAGTAAATCTGGTTAGTAGTGGTTCATAGTGATAGCTGATTTTTGGTAAATGATAGTTGTAATTAGTGACAACTGATAGAATACAACTGCAACAGGCTAATCATTTCATTGGCAGAAAACATTTACATTTTGTGAAGGCCGTCGTCACTTGTGGTGTATGGTCTGCACCCGACGCTCTTCTTCTTTTTGAAAGGGAGTATACGTGAAGGCAAGCGCAACAAGAAATCTATGTAATGCGGTAGGATTCAGACGACCCTTCAGACCTGACAAAAAAAAACCTGGCAGCTTAGATCTAAAATTAAGAGAGTACCAAAAATCTGATTGCTTTGTGTGTTTCTCGGAGCTGATTTTAAGAGTCTACGGTGCCACAATAATGTCGAGTGGACTTTTTTCGTCCCTAGGCGGGATTTAAACCCGCAATTCTTGTTTCCCAAGCATTGTATCACCATTACACTACCAGGGCTATATCTCACCATAGCTCAGCTTTTGATGGTATATTTGGCATTTGGTGGCTAACTCAGCATTAGCTTGAGACTTTCGCATCGTTGCATTCATCATTAAACAGCAGTGAACAACAAAACAAGTCAAGTTACTATAATTGCTATCACGTTAGAAGTGTGAGTGGTAACAAGCTGTGGTAAATGCATTGTGGAAAGAAGAGTAAAGGTGAAATTGTTACCCGATGGTGTAATCGGTTTCACATTGCCCAGTAATCAAGAAGGGCTGGTTCGAGTCTGTCTGATATCAAGGTTTAGCAAATAACTCAGCATGTTGTGTATCTTTCGCAAGGCGAACTGCGGCGTTACAGCAGTTATCAAACAAACAAGTCTCTTATGCAATACACGGAAACTGACAACGCCTCTCTTGTGTGATCAGAACACAATAGCTGGTCCCCTGCGTGTTCTAGCAAAGTGGTGAAAATATGGCGGAAGGATAGTTCACAATCAGAAATCAAGCTTTCAGTGCAAAGTTAATCTGTATGAGCCTTTTGATTCTGCGGCTGACATCGTTTTTTCCGACAGTTTCATTGGCAGCTACAGGAGTGATTTCCTCGCCTGAGCCGCATGTAGAGCCAGAACGGGCCTGGACAGGCTCAACGGCGCAGACATCATGAGAAAACCATGAGAATCAAGGCAAAGTATTCTTTCTCCCGGCAATGCTAGTCTACGCAGAAGGCTCGGCAAAAGCTTAAAAATTCTTGTGGGATGACGTGGTCAATAGACTTGGCACCGTTAAATTATTACCTGCTTCTATCACAGTGAAACCATTTGAAAGGGAGGGAAGTTTGTCGATCTGGACCAGATCGAAGAAGACACCATTCAATTTTTTGCTCCAACTGCTCAAAACTTCTAGATAAGATCGTCTGGGCGTCCGCTGTCCACGAGATTCACGACTAAAGGCAATGTGTAGTCGATAATGCAGGTGCACATAGTATTTCTTGGTTATCAGTCAAGCAAAGAAAAGTAAATCTGAACTAAAAACAGAGAGTTGCCAGAGGGCTTTTTTGTTACGGAAAAAAGGAAGTGCTCGTTCACAGTGAGCTCAGAAATGCCCAGCACGAAAGTGGCAATAGAATCAGGTTTACCAATGCTATGCGACTGCACCAAGAGGAACCCTTGTTAAATTCAGCAGGCGTGAGACTCTATTTACACCCCTCTTCTGTTCTCTAGAGTCCCTGAGGAGGAAGGTGTGTTCGGAAGCAGCGAAGTTAATTTATGAACGAGGATATCAGCGAGGATATCAAAGTGGTTATCAAGAAAGGGTGGGGTAGTTACACTGAAGTCGTTCGTTTGGGAGTGTCCTACTGATGGCGGCACCTTAGATCCCCTCAAATGGATTTAAAGGAGGAATTCACGATTAGAATGAAGGTCGAAGAAAGGGAAACTGACCTAGTTGAGGGACCCACGGACCTCCTGAGGGTGCGAACTGACGCGCAATTCGCATGGAAAAATTTGACCTCGGCGACCTATCATGCCTCAAAGCTGGCGGGTCCGGCGATCTCCGCCCACCGATCATCTGATCACTCGCCGTAGTTCAATACGTGGCGAGTGATTAGATAGCTGAGAGAGCGTAGTGTTGAAGAGGGCACAGCGATGAGAGTCGCATCAATGCTCAAATCAACGGGCAAGGAAGGGGTCCCATTTCTCGGGTTCTGGGCCGTTTCTCATGGTTCTTCCTTCTTTCGTGTACCACTCACCATCCCTAGGTTAATTTGAAATGGGTTGCTTTTCATCGTGAATTCGTCCTTTAAAGGCCACGAGGTCGCCCGACTATGATAATCCGTAAAAGATGTTGGGCCGCTGCATAGAATTGGAAAAGTGGTGGATGCGTAAGTATCCAGCTATGTTCCAGAAGGCGTTGTGTATCCAGCCGTATGGCATTTGTACGCTTCTGTCTCGCCTTCTAGCAATAGAGCGACCAAAAGCATCGCACCTTCACTGTGAAGGATTGGTTTCGACAGCATGGCGCGCTTTCAACGAAGGGAACAATTCACACCACATGTCCTGAGCGCCATCGAAACATTATGGGAAAGGTAGGGATACCTTTGGTGGAAATAAGAGCCGGGAATATGGGCGAGAAACTCGTCAAATTTCAAGAGAAGTGGAGGAAGCTGCCCTAGTAGACAGTGCATTCAATGACTGATTCCTTACTTAGGCCTTGTTAAGATTTCAGTGACTCCAGAATGTTGTCAACAAACAACTGAATCTGCTAGATTTTGCTCGTTCATGCTTTAGATTGTTTTGTTGAATTTTTAAGCTTTCTACAATATTTTGAAACCTCCTCTGAATTTTGGGCGGAAGTGGTGTAGTGGCAAGTGGCACGCTTACCACGCGAGCGGTCCGGGGATCAAATCCTGGGTCGTGAGTCGCCCGGGCCAACCAAGCCTTCCATCCCCGGGGTCGGTTAATTGGTACCAGACTTGTCTGGGAGGATAAAAACACTGACTTGTACATCGGCTGGCCCCCGCAAGTCATTGTATAGGCCACATCGCATTCAAACGCCACTACGAATGTACAAATGGAAGTAGAATGCGTGCGCGTATCCCCAAAAGGATTGATCAACGGGGTAAGATGATTCTTTCGTGCATTTACTGGGGAGATTTAATCATACTTTCGAGGATTGCACTTGGATAATTTTCTATTTTAATTCTTTCTTCATTTAAGCAGAGCATCCGAAGGCTTTTGTGAGTCACTGCATAGGCCATTACTATGATAATCTCGATGTGAGCATCTCATAAACTAACATGCATTGAATATGGTCGCATGGCTGTCGACGCAGCGTTGGTTCCTAATGTAAACCCTTCCACGGTTCCGCTCGATGATGGGATCGCGCTACAGGTACTCGTTGGAAGTTAAAGGTTTGGTTTACTGAGTCTTGCGCGCTCATAACTGTTCTGTGGCAAAGCCCTGGCAATAGAAATCACAGAGAGCTGAGGAGTTTGTGTCTCGGTTAAGATCGGTTCAAATTTCAGTACGCAGCATTTTCCAGGAGCTCGTCCGGAAGATTCCTCGAAACGATTCTCGCTTCTCAGCAGGCTGGGAGAAATTCTGTCGATGCCATCGAGAGAATGAAAAATCGGACGTGACCAGTAGGCTTGTCTCAGGACGACTGGTTGATCAGCGAAGCCATTGCACAAAATTCTGACAGACCTTTTTTAGATTGACGTTATGGAGTGATGGGGTATTTATATTTTGATCTACGATATGTTGCGTCTCTCATAAAAACGCGCATACTTTTACTACGTTTTTTTGAAGGGATAATTTCGCTAGGTAAATTTCGAGGCCGGGTTGTCCATTTCACGTATGAATAAGTAACTATTATCAATGGGCACAACGATTGGGAAGCTTACATTAAGGGCATGAGATTGCGATTGTAACCAGATGACAATCAGGACGCGCCGCGCGCTGTGTGGGGAAGCCCCCAGAAACGTTGGGCGTCGGGTGACAGGAGCCATTACGAAGCCAGTTTTGCGTAACTAGTCTGATAAGACATCCGAGCAATGTCAGGAACCACAATCATCAAGTTCCATCGAACATTCTTTTTAAGACATAAAGCTTCTACTTGTTCGTGGTCTTTCGAGCAGCACTAGAAGTGACTTCCATGCTATCTTCTGTCTTTGATCCTTTATTGTATCACTCATATCTTGTGGCTACTTGTATTATCGGGTGTTCTACATTTTACGATTAAGCGCCGGCCCGGAAAAATTGCCTTTTGCAAAGTTGTTTTCCGATGATCAGCAATTTTGGGGGTGGTTATGCGGGGATGAGGCAATCCATTAAGGAAGAACCGTTCGGTATTTAGTAACTGCTATAATTGACATTGTGGACCTACCTAATATAGATCGCACCATGCGGTGGGCATTCTATTCTGATTTGAAATTTGAAGGAAATTTCAGGGTAGTGTTGCTACTTCACTCACCTTGCTTACTGCTGTTAGCATGATTCAAATCATTCTTTTCCTTTTCGATGTCAGGAGAAATGAGGGCGGTCCAAAGCATTGTTGATCCTACCATCATGTTGTCCTCCCTAATCTCCATGTTGCCGGGCTGCCTCCTGCTGTCTCCTCCATGGTGTCCACTCCATGGTTGTGCTCCGCAGCCTCTCAACCGACCACCACCACCTACAATTGTTGGTTGCTGTTGTTGGCACCAACAAGACAGCAGTTAGCATCAGGTGGATGCTGGCTGCGCGGAGGAGGCTGTGGAGGAGGATGCGGTGGAGGCGGAGGCGGCTGCGGAGGAGGATGCGGCGGAGGCTGTGGAGGAGGATGCGGCGGAGGCGGAGGCGGCTGCGGAGGAGGATGCGGCGGAGGTTGTGGAGGAGGATGCGGCGGAGGCGGAGGCGGCTGCGGAGGAGGATGCGGTGGAGGTTGCGGAGGAGGATGCGGAGGAGGCGGAGGCGGTTGCGGAGGAGGCGGTGGAGGATGCGGAGGAGGCGGCGGTGGAGGCGGTGGCGGAGGATACGCAGTAGCACCACCCCCACCAAGCTACGCAGCAGCTCCACCCCCACCACCACCAAGTGAGTTGTGAACATTTAGCTTCTTATTTATCATTATCTTCTAACTAATATGCTTTATTGTTCAGGCTATGCACTCGGCGGAGGAGGAGGCGGCTATCCCGTTGGCGGCGGAGCCTACCCAGCAGCTGGAGGATACGCGCAAGGCGGTTAGGATTCGATAGAATATTATTGCTCCAGTTGTAGAAAATAGCGATAAAACATCTAATTCTTTGCGTTGTTTTGCATATATCACTTGTCTAAAATGGGTTTTTCTCTACGGGGGCTTAAACAATCCAACCTCTGATAATCTGAAACTAAAGTCAATCACGACAAAAATGCTGAACTAATCTCGACATTTTAGAAAGTGTAGCTATGATCAGGACCTGGGCCATATGAGCAGTTCTCTACACAGAAACTTGGACCACCTCTGGAATCCCTGCTGGCAAAGATGGCGATTATACCGTGCCATGCATCATCTAGAGCCACTTTTGGCAGTTGCCAATTCAATAGCCTACTTTTGGGTGAAGGTAGCGAAACACGTAAAATTTTTGGACACGCTAGTTCGCCTTTTTGGAAAACTCTTCCGTCCTTTCCAGATAAGGTGCCAAGTTTCTGAGTAGCGAGTTCTCATTCTGTAGTATCGAATTAAAATGAAGATACCAAGGAGTCCAATTGAACCTTCCTAGAATTATGTGTACACTTTTTGTGTTTTAAAAGCAACCTACTTCTTCAGGCGGCGGCGGTAACTATGCAGCACCAAGCAACTACGCAGCACCAGCTCCCACTTATGCTGCAGGAGGAGGAGGACCAAGCTATGCCGGAGGAGGCGGAGGCCCAAGCTATGCCGGAGGAGGCGGAGGCCCAAGCTATGCTGGAGGAGGCGGAGGCCCAAGCTATGCCGGAGGAGGCGGAGGCCCAAGCTATGCCGGAGGAGGCGGAGGCCCAAGCTATGCTGGAGGAGGCGGAGGCCCAAGTTATGCTGGAGGAGGCGGAGGACAGAGTTATGCCAAAGGAGGCTACGCAGGTGGTGGAGGAGGATCCAACTATGCAGGAGGAGGCGGAGGCTCCAGCTACACCGGTGGAGGCGGAGGCCAGAATTATGCTAAAGGAGGCTATGCAGGTGGAAAGGAGGATATCTCAGGTGGAGGATACTCTGAAGGGGCTGCACCTCCGCCAGCACCCCCAATTCCAGCGCTACGCCACCACGCACCAGAGCACACCACGTCCACGGCACCAGCACCAGTAGAGGCTGCACAGACATACGGTGAAGGAGAGGTAAGCATTCAGAAAGCTTTTGCAATTTACCAGGCATCATTTTTTTAATGAGTCTCGTTATTTTCACAATATTTTCTTCTCAGTCTGCTGGAGGCGCTTTTGATAATGCCAACGCTGCACCTGAGCCAGCTGCTGCGGAAGAAACTGAAGAAGCAGCACCAGCACCTGCTGCGGGCGGTGGAAGCAACTACGATCAAGCGGCAGCAGCTCCGGCACCAGCTGCTGGTGGAGAAGAATACGAGGGTGGTCAAGGTTTCCGACTCCGCCGATTCTCGAAGACTGACAAAGGCGCGTTGGACAAGAACTGCAACTCATTGCGACTCAGAAAGATCATGCGACAGGTATGCCTCCATTTGAACTGTTTACATTAAAGGCACGAGTCGGGATTGAATTGATGCGTTATTTTGTTCAAACATTAGGCAATGAGGAACATTAGTGAGGAGAAAAAGCAAAAAGCACCATAGAAAACACTAAATTTCCCTTAGGAGGCCGGCCGTAGTACGACGGAGAGACACAGCGCTGCGAGGAGAGGGAGAACGCGAGATAGTACGTCATACGCGAGAGGACGCAGAGACCACGTATGCCGTGGTGGATTACGCTGGCAGCGCGGGCAGCGCGGCGGGCAAGGCCTTAGCGCCATTGCCGCGCACTTTTGGGTCGCGATAGTGTCGCGCCCTCAGTGCTTGGGGAGCCCACTATCGCACCCTGGGAAGAACTTCTGCTGGTTGCCTAATCCTGACTCGTGGCTTTAAGTCTTATGATCAGTGGGGAAACGAAGCAGTATATGTGAGCTGTGTCAAAAGTGGGTTAGCAATGAAAGACACAGGAGGCTTCCCCATCCACGTGGTCCATTTAACGCGGATTTCACTATGAAAAGGCAGCCCATGAGTAATAAATTAGAGATGGTCAGCGCCGAACGGCCCAGAACCTGAGAAGTGGGACCCCTTCCTTGCCCGCTGATTTACGCATTGTGATTCTTATCAGTGCTACCCTCTTGAATAACGCTCTCTTCTACCAAAAGGCTAGAGGCTCAGACAGCGAGAGGGGCGTACTGCGCCGATACCGCGCCATTGTCGAAGCGGAAGGGCCATGCTAGATCCCCGGAGGTATCGCCCTCGATGTGAATTGCGTGTAGGTCCTCATCCTTAGAAAGTCTGCCTATCTCTCCACCAGGTAAATTTCTCCTTTCTCCTTCCTCCACCATCTTCCTTATCGTGGAATCTTCTTTTAAAAGCATAGTACGGTGAAAGCTGCGTCAGAAATTATGGTAGAGGTAGTCTAGATGAAGGAAAACCACGAGAAATGGGATCCCTTCCTTGCCCGCATTTCTGCTTTGCAACTCTCATCGGTGCTGCCCTCTTCAATACTAACGCTCTTTCTGCTAAATGGCTGTAGAATGCGGTTAGCGGTTAACCAATTGGTAGGCGTGCAGCGTCGATAGCGCCGCGGAGAATTACCATACTAGGTCGTCGAGGCATATCCTTCGCTGCAAAGCGTGTCGATCTGCTTCCTGAGGGTGGCCTCTAATTTCAGCTACAATGGGCACCAGTTTTCGTACCATCGTAAAAAAGTGGACCTGTCTTCCCAGGTAACCCCTTTTTCGATCTTCGCTCTTCTTGTGAAATCACTCTTTAATGCTGATGGTCCTCTTTTTTACGAATGGTACGAAATTTCGTCGCCCTATTCAGTTGAAACTAGAGGCAGTAGAGAGTGCACTTATCGAGAAAAATCCGCAAAAGAATGACTAGGGGCTTGCAAAATGGGATCCCATTTCCCGTTTCCGCTTTGAACGGGCCACCGACCAAAAGGATTTCGTTTGCACGTGCTCATCCCAATTGCTGGTACCAATTAATATTATCCTTCAATTGATTACGCATAATCTAGAAAAATTTAAAGATACAGCCGCTCAACATAAATTGCCCTTTCGAAATGAAGAGCATAGTACAGCGAAGGAGGCGGGCTGGACACTGGAGGCGGCAGTGGCCAGGTAAGGCCGATGTCAGACTTTGCGAATCGCGCGATTCGCTACTAGCGATTCGCGCGATTCGCTAGCGTCCGCGGTCGCGTTGCGGTACCAGCCAATTGAGTGATTCACTGGCCGCGACGCGACCGCAGACGCTAGCGAATCGCGCGATTCGCAAAGTCTGACATCGGCCTAAGGTTTTCATAAGCTAAGCAGGGATGGGCGTGCCTTCCGCGGCGATGCATGTTTCTACTCACTTCTTTGGAGGCCCGCCGCCCTTATCAAATCCTCTTTCTCCATGTCCCATTCATCATAACATCGTCCTTTAAAGCCCCCCCCTTTGGGTGACCGAACTTTGAGAACAAGCTGAAAAAAGGGAGCCCCAGGATTTGTAGTACGAGGTGACGTTGTGGTAGAAGCTTTCAAGAAATAAAAAATATAGGGATTCAACGCCTGGAGGTCCACCCTTTCTTGCGATATCATTCAGCTTTCGTATCGCTCTCTGCTATGCTCCTTCTATAATATTTTCAGAATTTTCGTCAGCTCTTCCCCTTTTTTCTTTACAGAAAATCACTTATCACTCCTATTTTCTTTTACATTCGAGCCAATTTGATTGTAAGGTCTGCCTGTTCAAGAATCGCTAAGAAGAGCGTTCCACCCGCTCAAACAAAACTCATCGTTCATTCTTTGACGAAAAGAAATTGCGGCTTTTTTTGTCTCTCACTGCCCTCCACATCTGAACGGATTTCCTTCATGACTGCGGAATTAGCTAGGGAGTTGCCTTTAAGGTAGTTCGACCCGGAGAATACGAATTTTACAGTCGCTCAGCGTGAAAACGCCTGGGACCGGCGCCAAAAGTGGCCAGAACCCCTTGGATCACCAAATTCGCTGGAAACTCGCCATCAGGGGTAGTTGACCCAAAACATGAATACGAATATCACGTTAATTCGTTGCGAGTGAGCTTGTAGCCTGCATCATGGCCGCCGCGCAAACTAATGCAATAGCGCCAGTCCTGTGGCGCTGGCGCCTAAGTGTTTTTGCGCTGAGCTGGTGTAATTTTCATGCTTTATGGGTTGAAATACCCTTTCTTGATCTTAGTCGAATAAGTTTCGATTAAGATGTTCACTTTTGAAGATTAGGGCAGTAGAGAATAAAGTACGGCAAGTAGAAAGTGCCAAAATTCCTATAGTTCGATTCTTTTTTAATCAAAAATCCGCAGCAAAAAAATGTTACAAATTGAACCAAGTTTCAATAGAACGAATTTTTACGGCAGTTAGCTCCTGCACAGCCGCGTTGGCAGCAACTTTACGTTCCCCTATGGTATTTTGTGATGAGCGTACATCATTAAGTCACGACGCGAATTCACACAAAATGCGGTTTGACGCGCGCGATATACTTGAATGGGACGTAATGTGCCATGGGCAGCACAGCAAATTGCTCTCTCGCCGAAATACCGGAGTATTGTGACCTCACACATTCAAACTTCTGGCGCGCTGTAATTGACTCACACACCCAGGAATCCCTCCTCCCTCCAAGGCTGAGAAGTTTCACCTTCCTCTTTGGGATTTGGAACCAAGTGTTGTTTGCAGATTACCAACCTGTTCTCTTCTCCAATCAGTTGTGCCGGGAATGAAATGGCTGTTTTACGTATAGATACTATTCTCGCGCTAGGAATGAAATTCGAGAGTGTGGGGGAATTCACACTTTATGTGTAAGCCCTGTCAAAGTAGGCACGAGTGAGTTCAAGATAATTACAATGAGTGGAAAATGCAGTTTGAGTTAGGGGGACACTCCTTCTTATCCTATCTGTAGTACTAGAGGCCGGACGCATAGTCGGTCGGACGACAGCAACGACTGCAAGTGTCGCACAGCAT